CAGGAAGTCATCCACACACCTCATCAGAAGGCTCTTTGGGCACTGATCCTCCAACGTGGTTGTTGTCGTCGGGTCCCTGCCCTGGGGCATTGATTAGATGTGTTGCCCAGAGGGGTTGCCACTGTTTTCTCCCAGCGGCCACTTTTTCATCTCTGATCTGTCTGCCTGGATTTAATAAGCATAGGCAATATTCTTAAGACTCTTGTGGAGACGCGGCCTACAGTACAGCCCTGTGGGTGCATGTCAGGGGTCCTCGTCCCCTTTGGCAACCACCAGCCGGTCTTGATATTCCGAGCCAGGGCTGCCCCCTGTGCCCTGCCAGGGGTGTCACTGATGCTGCAGAAGTCCCTGCCAGCTGGCTTTGCCCAGGCCTCCACTTCAGGTCCTCCTTCACCTTCACCCTCCCTTCAACGCCCTTGGCAGTAGTGGTCGCACATCCGAGGTTATATTTGTTACCTTCAGTTCTGGATGTCTTGCCTTTGCCCTCCAGATCCACATCTTTCTCTTCTGTGAGACCAACGGGCAGCTGGAGGGCAAGAGAGCCAAAGGGCTGTAGCCAATGGGAGGGGCTGGCAAGGAGATTACAGGGGAGGGAAGAAAGGCTGGGCGGGTACTCCTCAGCACCTTCCTGCCTGCACATGGGCTGACCCTCCACTGAGGCCACCGCTCCGGTGTGGAGCTTGATCCAGTTCAGCACTCCTAGGAACTGCTCCCTAGCCTGGGTATTCCGGGTGCCCGGTGCGGTGGCTGGGGTGGGGCACTGAGTACTCTTTTTAGCCTCCTTTAATCCTGCTCCTAAACTCCCTGCAGCCATGTCCTTCGAGCATCCTGGCTGACACTCATAGTTTGACCTCAGCGGTTTCAGTGTCTGTGTCTCTTTCCTGATGCTTCTGTTGGCTTTCGAGAGGAGACCACCATATACAACAGCAAGTTCTATAGATGGTTTTTACTTGAAAAGCTTCAGCATAAAAGTTGTTTTTTCCAAAAGGCATGTTCTTGGGAGAACAGTTCATACCTATTTGAAAGTGCAGGGTTTTATTATTATTATTTTTTTCAAATTATACAACTGGACGGCAAGAGGTCATAACAAAGCAGTTTTGTATTGGAGAAACAACTTTATTGGTCACAGAAAAGAAGTAGACCAAGAGAAGAAATAGAATTAAAAGAACAGTTTATTCATAATCATGCAAATTAGGAGTCCTTTTCAAATGATGGGGAAAAACATTGTTTTTGTTCCTTTCCAAAATCCAACCACCATCACCGCAGCACAGAACCTGCCGCCACTGCCCAGGGACACGGACACTCTGGGCTATGAAGGTTGTGTTTCTTGACTTTTTGGTTTTTTGTTTTTAACAGCAGAAAAGGACATGAATTCAGAGATTTCTTTCCACGGGAAACTGAAGGAGGGAAAGCAGAAATCCACTTGTATTTGTAAATGGGCACTTGCCTTGCCCTCTTCCGGACCCTGTAGGAGCCTGCCATTCTCATCCCCTGGCCTGGAGGGGCTGTGACCATCAGACCTGTCACATTCGGGGCCTGGGCAGCAGAGTGGCTCATTGGAAGTGTGCTGGGCCCATAACCCAGGGCTCTATGGAGCGAAACCATCCGCGGCTACAGGCTCATCTTTTTTTTTTCCCCAGGAAGCAGCCTGCAGACCTCACTCTCCGTGTCCCCTTCTGTCTCCCTATCAGGGTGTGCAGGGCCCACAGCAGCAGCCGGCTCCACGGTATGATGGTCAGCACTCTGGACTCGGGATCCAGCGATCCGAGTTCAAATCTGGGTGGGACCTACACAATTCTTTTTTGTCCCCCTTCCCTTGATCCCCACTTTGGTGTCTCTTCCCTCAGTGCCCTCAGACCAAGGGTAGCCTGACGGCAGCCCTGGTGTCTTATGGTTCCATGGTGTAATGGTCAGCACTCTGGACTCTGAATCCAGCGATCCGAGTTCAAATCTCGGTGGAACCTGCCTCACCTGTGACCCTTCTGTGTCCTCCCAGTGCCAGGTAGTGGGCAATGCAGCCCTCAGCAGGACAGCCTGTGCTTCCCAGACCAGGGTCTCCACTTTGGAGCTCACGTGGAGACCCCTGGCTGCAGTCTCCATTTGATGCCACTGGCCCCTCCTCAGTCACCGGTCACCTTTTCCTTGTATGTCCACCAGGACACCCCTGGTCCCTATGCGCAGCTGCCTGTGGCTTAGAGGGTATGGTCTGGTGCAGGGGCGAGTCTGCCCTCTGGGTGCACAGAGGCCTGGGGCTCTTATTGCTTCCACTTGGGCACATACCTTTCCAGGGACCCTCCAGGTCCAGACCTCTGAGTGGGGTTGTGTGGGTGGCCCAGCAGGGCTCCTGCCCATCCCCCGACCCCGCAGAGGGAACATGTTAGAGATTTCCTGATCTCTGCTCTTTTTAACGTGCACTTCCTCTCTCTAGCTTGGCTTTTAAAAAGGGAGACCAAAAGGGGCTCATACTGTCACTGCCAGGAAACAGGAATTCTTTTCATTATTAAAGCGGATCCATACAAATCCTGAGTTAAGGGCCGGGGGCCTACCTCTGTGTCTGTTCCCACGTGACCTTGGCAAGACCTTGTCCTCTTGAGGGGAGCGGGAGGAGCTGGTCCTTGGGTCCATCACAACTCTGCTGCACAGAGGGGATTTCAGTCCTGCTCCTGCCAGCTGCAGAACCCCGGGGCTCAACCTTCTCCTCATTCCTGTTCCCCCTGGTCTTTGTGCAAATGGGCTCATGTCTGGTTTGAGGCCCAGGCAAGCACCCCAGAAGAGCCCAGCCCCCACATTTGCTCGTGGATTATGACAGGGGCCTACAGTGAGGACTCCTTGGTGACGTGCCTGTAGAGATTTCCCTATTTGTGCATAAAAAATCTGTTTCAACTGCTCTGCCTGTTTCCGATTGGGAACAAAGGCAATGCCTGAGGGAAAGGAGGTGATGTTGTAAATACCAAGTGTCCAGAAGCCAGAGGCTCAGCTTTGGGCCAGCAGCTGAGGTCAGAGAACACCATCGGGTCAGCAGCACAGGGGCCGGCACACAGGCAGTGCCCCTGCTCCACACCCTAGGCCAGCATCAAACTGATGGTGTAGACAATGGCTGAGTTCTGATCCGCAGTCCAGCAGAGTCGAGGAAGAAGAACCAGGGTCTACAACGGCTGGGACTGGCCCACGGGCCAAGGCCAGGTGGAAGTGCAATGGAAAAATCTGGGCTCTGCAGGGCACTGGAGAGCAGAGCTATTCAAGACGGCCACCATGCACACAAAGCTGCCGGACACGGTCATGGTCCACAGGAGGTGCTAGCAGCACCACGGCTCCAGTGACAGCATTCTGTAGAGCGGGTCCTGGGTGCAACGTGAATCTGGACTTACTCTGCCCTCCTCCTCATGGTGGGCCCCACCACTGCCCACCAGACACTCTGTGCACCAGCCCAGCTTGACTGTGGGGCCTCCCCCTCTTCTCTGCACGTAGGGCTGGAGTTAGGACAAAGGTGGCCATAACCCCAAGATGTGCTGCAGATGAGACCCCACACCTCGTGTGATCACACCTGGTCTGTCATCCTGGGCCCTGGCCACCAGGGGGCTTTGCTGCAGCTGGAAGAGACTGCTTTCGAAAAAAAAAAAAGTTTTTAATGTTTACCTATTTTTGAGAGAGAGAGAGAGACAGAGTGTGAGTGGGGAGGGGCAGAAAAGAGGGAGACACAGAATCCGAAGCAGGCTCCAGGCTCCGAGCTGTCAGCACAGAGCCCAACGTGGGGCTCGATCTCATGAACCGTGAGATCATGACCTGAGCTGAAGTCAGATGCTTAACCGACTGAGCCACCCAGGTGCCCCTGGAAGAGACCACTTTTGAAGCGAGAGGCGCAGCCCCCACACCTGACTCGTGGCTTTCTACGCCCCCTGAGAGCAAGGACAGCGCTCCTACTCTGGGCCACGGTGAGGCGAGGGGGCACGTGGCCCAGCGGGAAGGGGCATCTTCTCGACACACTCTCCACACTCAGCACATTCAACTGTTTATTCCGCAGTCAGCTCCGTGGAGGATGACACCGGTCGTGACCAGATGGAAAGGAAAAATGTACGATTTCACGCCCTAGCCGGCTATCAAGCCGGACAGGATACGGAACACGATGAAGGAAATGGAGCCCACCAGGGCGTGACGGCACGGAGGACTCAAGAGGATCAACATCACTCGTGTTTACCAAATCCAAGTGCTTTGAAAAACCAAACCCAGGCCACTCACAGATGTCTTTCTTTTGGAGGACGAGCCCAGATGTGGAGCGCCACGGTTCTGGAGGTTTCTGGCTGCTTGCTAGCCCTTGTTTGTATTGCGGGGAAACCACGTTCTATCCCTTCTTTAAGGCGCTCACAGGAGCGGCGCGGGCCGCAGGATGACAGTCAAACAGCAAAGGTCGGGGGAGGCTGTCCCCTGCTAACCCCGCTGGGGAGGGACTGAGGCGAAAGCCTCCCGATCACACACCCTGGCCCGAGCGGGGCAGCCAGTCTGTCCTGCGTCCTTCCGTCCCCCTTGCCAGGCCTCCCCGACCTCGAGGGGAGTTCTCCTTAAAGGCAGAATGTAAAAGTGCAAGTCTGGGGCCCCCTGGTCAGAGGTCTGATCCCAGGAGGCAGTTGCTACCGCTCTCGGACAACTGCAGCGGCGAGGAACGTGGCCCACTGCTACCAGAAAATCTGGAAATCCAGCTTTGTACACGAGCCCCCCGATTCCGAAAGGATGCAATTTATTCACGGTCTGGCAAAAATGTTTTCAGGAGTAACGTAAGTGGGTGAAGTAAGAGCCAAGTCGGGCAGACCGGGGACCGTGGCTCCACCACCCCCGCAGCCTGCCCGCCTCTCATCTCTTTTCCACGTCACATCGCTCTGAGGCACATGAATCTGAACTTCTGGGGTCTTGGCTCTTCGCAGGACACGTTTTAGATTTTTTTTTTTTAAGCCTAAAAGATAGTAGTCTGTCTCTATTTTTGTTCTTTGGGATATTTTTCAGTCTTAAGATAAAAGGGTACTTGAATTGGGGCAATCCTCCTCTCTTGTTAAAATATGCCAGTTGAACACACGTTACAAAGATAGCACCACGTCAAACCGAGTGAGGGAGCCGCCTACACACAGGGGGAGAGAGCTCCGGAAAGCACAGTGATGACTGAGAAGCGGAGCGGTTCTCCTCCAGCGTCTCCCTCCCTGGGCGGTGGCGGGCCCGCTTCCCAGCCTTGCCCACCTTCACCACTTGATGTCTCGGCTGGCAGCAGGGAGCCCCGGGCCCTGGTACACGGTGTGCAGGGCCTCCCGGACCCTGGGGGAGTCGGCCCCGTCCAGCCACTCCCGGTACAGCTCCTGCACGTGGGCGCTGGTCTCGGGGGGCCGCACGGGGACGTCCGCGTACTTGCCCTCCATCTGCCTCAGCAGCGCCTTGTCTGCGCGCCCATCCTCCGCCTGGGCTTGGCCCCTGCCGTTCAAACACCCTGGAAGACAAGCACGGAGCCTGTGCTTTTTCTCCTCTGCGTCGAAGGGAGTGGATCCGGGGCAGAGGAGGAACGACACCACGTGCGGCGTCCCGTGGCCAGAGTCTGGAGCTGGACTCGACGCACGGCCCCCAGCTCCCAAGGACAGCAGCTTACAGGCTCGCAGCCCCAGATGCTTCCTAGTCTTACCTACTTATGCTCTCCAGGAAACAGTTTTTACCTAAAACCGAATAGCCTGCCAACCTTTAGAACTGGATGGCTGTACATACAAATCCGGACCTCTGGTTTCTCCTGAAACTCATCAGAACCAGAAGAGCACGAAAACCGCTAACGGGCAGTCACGCCACTGCTGTCTCGTAAAGCCTCTGGGTGCTGGTCACCCCCCCCCCCCCCCCCCGGGCGGCACTGGGGAGGGAACGGGAACCCGGGAGCCCGCACAGGAGCCTACCCGCCCAAGTACCGCAGCTGGGATGAAGGGCGTGCCTCTCACGTAGGCGTGCTGCTTACCTCCAAATGTGTTAGATGATGTCACTATTTATAGGATGACATTCACGGAAAAGAACTTGGAGCAAACTTCCACCCTGGTCGAGTCCCCTTCCGCCTTCCCTTGGCAGCACCCAGCAGCTGCACTTTTGACCCCAAATCCTGAAGACGCTCAGTGGTGGCGGAGGACCCTGCCCGCTCTCCCAGGGTCTGCTCCTCTCCTCAGACTTTTGGCCCCCGCCCCCCTGCCTCCTCACCTGCACCCGCACCCGTCTGCTCCCCCGCGCCCCCACGTGGCCTCCCCAGACACTGGCAGGTTTTCACTAGCGCCCCGGCCGTGCCTCCTCTCCGCAGGCAGGTTCCAATCTCGTGGGCCCTCCCCACTCGGGGCACGAGTGGTCCCACTGCCACCCGGAGGCCACAGGATCCTCTCCCCCGACACCCACACCCACTGCACCAGCAAGTCCGTGGCCTCTGCTGTGGGAAGCCGCCCCGGCCCCTCTGGTTGGCCTCTGTTTCTCTGTCCCTCGGGTGGGGCCTAGCCACAGGTGGGGCCTCTGGAACCGACAGCAGGCCCTCACCTGGTGCCACCCCAGGTGCAGCTCTTCTCTGGGACTATGTCCCAGGGCTTTTCTAAGGGGACACCTGGCTTTTCTGCTCTGTGGTGAGAGGAGGACAGGGACCACCGTGTCAACCACCAGGGCGGCACCCACGAAGTGTCAGAGTTGGGCGAGGCCTGTGGCCTGTGCCTTACCCCCGGCGCAGGCGAGCACCTCCACAAAGTGGTACGGGAACCTGCCCTTCTTCAATTTCAGAACCACATTCTGGATGTTTCGAAAGCCGTACGCAGCAGCAAAGCGTAACAGAACCTCCCCGTTCTTTTCAAGGGTGACCTCCTGGAAGTCTTTGTTCCTGTAAGGTGAACAAAATGGGTTTTCGTCTACAGAGTCCTTCCTCTGTAGGTCGACAATTGTTTTCAAATCTAAGTTGGAAACGTTAGCAAAACGAAGTCTGCGAATGAAAACAAAGAAGGCTTTTTGATCTTGGCTGTTCTAAACCCTATACCTAGGACAGCCCCCACCCCAACTCTCACACACACACACACACACACACACACACACACACACACACACACAGAGGCCTGGCTGGCTTTGGGCAGTTTGCCCTGGACAGCAGCGCTGACCACACAGGCAGACCTCAGGGTGCGGTAGGTGACCTCCCCCACGTCCTCGTCAAACAGCTGCTTGGCGGCGTGTCTGAAGACGTGCACCAGGTACCCGTCGGAGCTGGCTCCATCATGGCGCCTCACCTCCTCCTCCTTCAGGCCTCCGAACCTTCCCAGGGAGGAAAGAGCAACAGCAACATTAAGTCAGATGTCCAAAGTCTTATGATCCCCGTGAAGAGAGAAACCCCTCGCAGATATTTATACTCTGGGGCCACAAACTCACGTTCCTGAGTTTTAACGATCGGACAAAGCAGCAGGCAGAGCCCCACTTGGTGCGCCCACATCAGGCACGTTCCCCTGGAACCCTGACACTTGGGGATAGAGCTGGGAATCTCTGGGCCACTCGGAAGCGTGTGCACGTACCCAGCGGGGACAGGCGACAGGCACCGGCTCTGGCCACGGGCACTGCAGCCAGCTGGCTAAACTCTGTAAACCTCAGGACAACCGTCCACGAAAGGGCCTCGCCAGCTAAACAGCCCACACTCGCCCTGCGTGGAGCCCAAGGGAGCCACTCCTCCTAGGAGGTGACCCAGCCTCGGGCAGGTCCAGATGCTCAATGTCGGGAACACACGAAGTTCAGAAATGGAGGGTGCTGGCATGTCAATGTCACCATGGAAACCCCCTTCCTCCAAGTGGCATCTCACACCAGGCCCCGCCCACATCCCATGGAAGAGCCAGGAAGAGCGGGTTGTGGTAAGGGCTGAGCGGCAACAGAGGAAGGGGAAACCCAGGTCAGGGGCCCCCACACCCTGTCCCCTGGCTGCACGTGGCCTCATACAGGAGGCTCCACCCACAAGGTGCCCCTCCCTGAAAGTCACTTACAGAGTATCAACGGCTGCGTCTTTTACCACGAGGTCGCTTTGCTCCATTATCTGAACGACTTCACCTACAGACAAAGAAGGGGCATGAGGCACCGAGGAAGCTGTCCTCAGGAGCTGTTTCCCAAATCATGTCCCCACTGGAAACCTGCTAAAGCGACCCCGGACGCCGTCATGCTCACGGAGGCAGGAACCCAGCTCTAGTGCAATGTAATCCCAATAAAATGAAAAACTGATGAAACGCGAAAGAAGAGTCCAATTCCTTCTCCTGCGCTTGAAATGAGGGATTTTGCCATCTCTCCACATTTCTGTTTCTGAAGCAGAAACTTTTTGCACACAGCCTCCTGTGGACAGATGACCAAGGCGCAGTGGCTGCCCTCACATGGTATCAGGTTGTGTGCAAAGAGATGAGCTGAAAACCAGAACTGTTCTCCTACTTCCCTCCACACAGCGGCCCCCAGAAGGCTTTGTGGAAACAGCTAATGTTTACATCAGCCACCGAGGCATCACGTGCGCACGAGTGGACTCAATGTCTGAGAACGATAGTAAAATGGACTCTGCATCTCAGGAAAACCCACTATCTACCCTTCCTTGGCTGCTGGGGCCGTCCTGTCTCCCTCCCCCGGGGACCCGGGGGTTCTCGTGCTGGAGTTTCATGTCAGGGTACCCACGCCCAGGAGTCCCTGCCCCCGAGAACTGGCCTAAAGTACACCCACGTGGGTTCAGCAGACGCAAGCCGCCCGCAGACTGCGATGTTCTGCCGAATGGTCCTGGAGGACGCCGAGGAACCACCCCCACCCCAGCACACAGGCTAGAGCAGGCCCAGGGCGCTGGAGCACCGTGGGTCCCCGCTCTGTCTCCAGGTGAAGGTTTGGTTTGTCCGCAGAGCCTCTGGGCTCACACACGACTTTTCCGCGCTGCGTGAGTGCTGCCTCTCTCCACTTTCCTGCAGTCTGGCCCTCGGGGGGCCTGTCGTGACCTCAGAAGATGATGGGCCAGAGGCCCCAGCAGTCCCCAGCTCTGTACCCCCCTCACCTGAGGTTAGTACGCAGTCAGCACCCCGGGAGCCGTGCAAAGCTGTGGGAACGTCTTCTCGAAGGGCCTCCAGTTTCCTATCGTAGCAAGGGGCCACGATAACATGGAAAATCTTGTCTGGGGACAGGTTCTGGGGAGAAGGAGCAAACCCAGGTTGGGGCTGTGGGAAGCGAGGAGGACGGCTGTGTGCCAGTACCCACAACACCCCCCGGGGGCTTCCTCAGACCAAGTTCCGAACTGTGCCTGCCTCCCAGCTGTACGGGGAGACCGTGCCCTGGAGACCCGGGCGGATTCACCCAGAACCCATAAGGCCGATGGCCTGGAGATGCCAGGGAAGAGCTGTAAAGCTGAACCCGTTTCCCCTGAAACCTCTGCATACAGTGACCAAACATGGTTAAGAGTAAGCCACACGGATGGTTGCTCGACGCCTGGCTGGTTTGCCTTTGGACCTTCTGGAAACTTCCCAAGTGACACCTATCGGAGCTGCCCCTCTGGTGCCTACGGCTGAGCTGGAGTTGGTAGCCACGCCAGGAGCTGGCACAGTTGCTGAGTGACCTTTGTGGAGAGGCCTCGGTGGAAACACCCTACTCGGGGCAGTCTGAGGAGGGTGCCGGCCGGCCCTCAGCAGGCCCACAGGACCAGGAAACTCCTGGACTCCCCCAAGCAGTGGGGCTGGGGCAGTCCCACAGTTCATTTTTCTGTCCCCAAAGTGAACACATACACACTGACATCACATTTACGATTGACAAGCTGTGGTGAAAAGGGAACATTCCCACTGCTAAATTAACGAGGATGCCAGAACTGTGTGGCTTCCTGAAACTGGCTGTGGGTCTGGGGGATTCCTCCAGCTCCTGCAGGGCCAGACCTTGATGGTTCCCTGGAGAGATGTCTAATCTGACTGAGGAGGGCTGTGGGGGCTCTGGCAGCTGGAGAGCAGGCCACGGGAGGGGCCACATCGTGGATGGCATGAGAGTGTCAAGGACCTCCGGAAGGACCCAGGCCTGGCCTCCACCAGGCTCCCAAGGCGGCCCTGGATGGCAGGCAGGGGGTCTGCGTGGGGAGGGACAGCACAGGGACCAGCTGATGATGGGGCACCGTCCACGGTGGGGGAGCCGGGGCAGGCGAGGGATGTGGAACAGCCTTCAGAGGCCTGGCTGGGAGATTTCCCGTCACGTGAAGGCAGACGCAGCCAAGGGATCAGACACTAGCTGCTCGCTGTGGTGACAGGCCAGGGACTCCCTCAGCAGGATGGCAGCATTTGCACTCGGTCCGGGTCTGACGCCACCCTGGTCGTGCGTGGTGGAACATTCCCTATCTCCTGGCCCACGTGTTGCCCTCTGGGAGGAGGCTGGCTTACCTGCCGTCTGGCGAAGTAATCCTTCACCAGAGAGCCCATGATCTGTTGGGGAGACTTAGCGGTGCAGAGGTGGGGGGTGACAGGGTGGCCCAGCACCCGCTCGGCATATCGGACCCAGCCTGGGGAGAGAACGGGTCCCCTGTCAGCTCCTCACAGTGACTTCCTCCTGCTTTCTGTCACACACGAGGAATTCAGCGCTCCCAGACCCTGTCACTTGGGGTAAAGCCAGACACCTCTCCTGACCCTAGGAGCTGGTGGCGGATCCCCCGCCAAGCTGCTTTTCCTCAGCAGCTTGGGCCACGCAGACCCCAGCTGCATTTGCCCCGGACGGGAAGACGCCCCTGCCGGCTCGCCAGAGAGGACGGAGTGGAAGGAAGTGAAAGCTGGTACAGGGGCGCCTGGGTGGCACAGTCGGTTAAGCGTCCGACTTCAGCCAGGTCACGATCTCGCGGTCCGGGAGTTTGAGCCCCGCGTCGGGCTCTGGGCTGATGGCTCAGAGCCTGGAGCCTGTTTCCGATTCTGTGTCTTCCTCTCTCTCTGCCCCTCCCCCGTTCATGCTCTGCCTCTCTCTGTCCCAAAAATAAACGTTGAAAAACAAAAATTAAAAGAAAAAAAAAAAAAAAGAAAGCTGGTACAGGGGGTCCCCCAAAAGAGGAGGAGCACAAGCTTAGAGGAGCAGGCACGCGGCAGCGTCCCGGGGGGACAGGGCCCCTCTCCACCGTGCCGGCCACAACACCGTCCTTGCAGCCAGTGGCCATGCTCAGATGCTGCATCGGCCACAAAGCCACCGGCTCCACTCACCTATCAGAAGTTAACGGCCAACTGCTCACTTAGGGCGAGGACCACAGGAGGATTTCACACCCCAGTGACAGTAAGAGACAGCACACTTACTCTCCACCTACTACGTGCCCAGCACGGTACAAGCATTTCCTGAGTGGCTGACGGCCACTGTGCCCTCTGGGGTCACCCCTGCTATGGTTTCCAGGGGTGACAGGAGTCAGAGAGATCAGTGAACTACAAGGCCAGAAGCCTGGTGAGAGGCCTGCTGACCCCCAGCTGGGCGTGCGCACCACGGCACACGGGGGAGCACAGAAGCCTGGCGGTAAAGCTGCTCGTCAGACCCTGGGGACAGCCAGCCACTGTCCTGTGACCGCCCCCGGTAGGGAGAAGCGGCAGGCACCAGTTGACAGAACAATCCCGTCCGAACAAACTCAAACCACAGCTGTCACCTCCAGGACAGGAAGTGTCTGCCGCGGCCCCCAAAAGCCCCAGGAGAGGGGGCCCTGGAGGAGGGCTCTCCTCGTCCCGGCCTCAAATATTAAGATGAGAAACTGCCAAACACCGTGGCACCTTGGGGGCCCCAAGGCCCTGCCCCCCGGTCTCAGTGCCCAGGCCAGCAGCTCGAGACACGGCTCCCAGGCAGGTGGCACCTCTGGGCTGCGGGCAGGCTGCTGTGTGCTGGCCCTGGGCGCCCCACAACATCAGGCAGAACACCAGGAGGTAAGGGCCAGGGCCCACGGAGGACACCCGGCCTTGGGTGAAGAGGGCTGAGCAGGGACAGAGAGGAGGAACCAGGGTCCCAGGCCCCACGGCTCCCTGCATCTGAAACCAGACAGGCTAGCTTTTCCTGAGGGTTCCCTTCACCTCTCCCGGAGACAGAGAGGCTGCTGCCGGCTTCACAGCAGCACAGGTGTGACAACGCGCTACCTGGACGCTGGCACTTTCCTCGTCAGACCACGGACGGGATGGGACGAGGGGAGGTGCTTGGAGAAGTGGCCTGCAGATACGCTGCTGGGTGCCGGGCAAAGGTACACCCAACAGGAGGCGTTCTGTCAGGCTGTGGGCGGCAAGGGTACCCCAGGACCGGGGAGCCCTGTGAGCCAGCACAGGACTGCCCCGGCCCCGATCCTATCTGCCAGGTCATGTCACCTGACCTTGACATTGCTTCAGTTTCCTCACCTTGTCACAGGGAAGCAAAAATGACAATGCCAATCGTAGAAAAGGGCTAGGTTTGAACCAAAGCTCACCTCCTCTCCCTGAATTTGAGAGAGGGTATGGAGCTGAACAACTTATAGTCCTGACACATTTAGGTAGAAAGAACTCCAGAAGGAAAGTGCATCATTATCTAGGAAGAACATTCCAGAAGCTCCAAACCTACATGTAAACAGACTTGAACAGCTTGAAACCCTGAACACAGCAAGTATCAGGCCAGATCGGGGGTGGGGGCCGGTCTGCGTCAGTCAGTGGCTCAGTGAGAGGGGGCTCGGGCGGATGTGCAGGGGACCCGCGGGCACTTCACTCCCTCCTGACCCAAAAGCCCAGGGGGCCTGGGACCTCTGACCTCACCCACCTCCTCTCCTGCCCCCAAGGCAGACCCACGAGAAACGCTGCCTCAGGCCAACGGAGGCACAGCAGCGGGCTCTGGACGCTCACCCGGACAGGCGGAGGTGAGCATGGGCAACGCAGGCTCCTCCTCGCTGTGCTGGCGGAAGCGACGCACAAATTCCTTCTGACTCTCCAGCACGCTGAAATCCGCGGCTATCGTTGTGTCAAAGACATAGTGCACCCCTGTAAGAACGAGGGGAGCATTTAGCTTCTCTTGACCTGCAAGAGTCTGGAGAGTCGAAGATCAGACTCAAAGGACAGACTCCATGGCACCCCTGCACGATCTCCCTCACTCTCGCCTCACAAACCGCAGAAGCCCAGGACTGTGCTTTAACTTTTCCTTGAAACAATAAACATGCATCACTTTTCACAATAACATACAAGTATTTTCTCTCTGGCTTCTTCTTGTTCTCTCTACACCTACATAAACACTTCATGGTAGCTCATAAAAGTAATGGAATATTGCAAGATACCAGCACCACTCTCTTCCAATCGGTGGCTACATTTCAGTCTGTGATGATCCTTGATGTCTTGAAAATAAACGAGTAAGTTGGCAGGTCATGCCTTTTTGATGGCTGCAATTGTTATGATTTGTAACCATCTATCTTTTTTCAGCTATCTTTTTAAAATAAATTTTCTTAATATTGGCTCGTAAGGATGATACATTTTTAATAATTACAGTAAAGTTAAAATAACTTTAATATCTGCAGCTAGTCTAAATCTTAAAAGCAAAGTTATTCCTAAAAAGAAACATTATAAAGATAAGCATCATCTTATCATTTAAAGTATTACCTTAAATCAGTTTCGCTACAAATATATTTTATTAACGTATAAGGCCCATTATTTTCTTTCAAAAAATTCTCCCGCAAGTGGAGCCTGGGTGGCTTAATCAGTTGAACGTCCGACTTTGGCTCAGGTCATGATCTTGAGGTTTGTGGGTTTGAGCCCCGCATTGGGCTGTGTGCCAAGAGTTCAGAGCCTGAAGCCTGCTTCAGAGTCTGTGTCTCCCTGTCTCTCTCTCTGTCAAAATAAATTTTAAAAATTCCCTCACAAGCAGTGGTGCCTGGGTGGCTGTCGGTTAAGCATCCGACTCTGGATGTCGGCTCAGGTCATGATCTTGTGGTCCATAAGATGGAGTTCTGTGTCGGCCTCTGTGCTAACAACACGAAGCCGGCTTGGGATTCTCTCTCTCCCCTCCCTCCTCTGCCTCCCTCGCTCAAGCTCTAAACCTCTTTGTCAAAATAAATAAATAAACTTAAAAAAAAAGTTTCCTCCCAAAATAGGGGCTTTCCCCATGAGAAGAGAGCTCTGGCCTTCGGTAAGGCCGAGCTGACCCGAGGCGTTCTCAGATCACACGTGTGAAGAGGTAGCTAAATCCGCGCTCGCAGCTGTGGCCCCACTGGGAGCAGGCAGTGGGCGGGGAACCCACTCCACGCCCAGCGCTCCGAGGAGGCGGCCGTCTTTATTCTGAGCGTCACCTTATTCTATTAGGAATCCCCCATGTGCTTGGTCTCTAAAAACCACTGCAGAAAAACAAACTCGTGTTGGCAAACGGCCCCCGCTGTCCTCTCCTGAGCCCACCTGGCGGTGGTGTGCACGAGGGCACACGGGGCGGCAGATGCTCTGTGCATGGTGGCGTGGGGGGCTGGGGTTGGGCAGCTCTGGTCCGACGACAGCGGGTGACACAGGAGCCTTCTTACCGCCATTTTGCACAGTGCCATTCTAGCTCATTCACATCCGAGCTCCTAACCATGTCTGAAAGGGACCACCTTCCTGTTTTGTGCACAGGACACAGCCCATTCCCTCGCTGCTCTGCTCTTCAGAGCACATCCTGGGAACTCAGATGCCAGTCATCTTGCAGGAATGAGGCTCTACGAAACGCCTTCCGTGGGCCCTGGGAGCCGGGACGAGACCACACTCCTCGGCAAGTGCAGGAACCTCCAGCGTGTCCCCGGCCACCCCTTCCCTTCCATCCCTTGCCAGTCCTGGAGGCCGGGCCACACCTGTCTGCACAGCAAGGGGTAAGGGACACCCGCGGGGTCTCCTCTTACATTCCTCAAGGTGCTCATGGAAGTCCTCGTCTACGCTGCGCCCCTGCAAGCTGAACTCTGGAGATACAAAGGGCAGCTACAAACTGGCATCCTCAACACACAAACAACATCAAGGAGCCTCACCAAGACTTTTGAGGAAGCCGCAGAGTCTTCTGGATGCATCAGTCACACTGAGGCGGAATTTGGCAGCAAAGTAAGGCAGAGACTGAGGACACACCGACACCACCAGCACCTTGTGCTGTGAGGTATCACATTTCTGGAAGAAACAGAGTAGAGTGTCATTCATGGGGGGAGTACGGAAAGTAACGTAAGACGTTATAATAAAAAGGTCAGAAGAGACAGAATGTCATAGATGTTCTGTGGAAAGCCTCCTAAATATACAAGCACTAGCAAGTATGATTAAGGACATGGAAAAAGTTAGGATTAAAGAGTATGACGTCCTGAGATGCCTGGGTGGCTCAGTCAGTTAGGCGTCTGACTCTTGATTTTGGCTCAGGTCATGAGCTCATGGTCGTGAGATCAAGCCCCCTGTGGGGCTCTGCGCTGAACGTGGAGCCTGCTTGACAGTCTCTCTCCCTCTGCCCCCTTTCCCCTGCTCACGCTTTCTCTCTAATTAAAAAAAAAAAAAAAAGTACATCCTAAGAGATTTCGTCAATTTGATTTTTTAATGTTTGTTTATTTTTTTGAGAGAGAGAGTGAGAGAGAGAGAGAGAGAGACCCAAGAAGTCTCTGTGCTGTCCCACAAACTGTAAGCTCATGACCTGAGCTGAAATCAAGAGTCAGATGTTTAACCGACTGAGCCACCCAGGCGCCCCTGCCAATGATAACCTTCACATCTTCTGACCTACACAGTTCTGATTTCTTTTTCTGATGGTATTGTCTAGGTCCTTTAAACTCAACCTCCGATAACAGTGGTGATAAATGGTACTAACATCTCGATTCAGACCTCGGTGGAAATGCTCATAAAGATGTACCATTAAGTAGAGGTTTGCAGAATTTCTGGTAGATACCCATAGGCGTCAGCATTTCAGTTGCAGCAAATGGGTATGCAACTCACTGGAATAAATAACAAGGAAATGGTTGTTTTGTGAAACTGGGCTGGTGAGCCAGCCACTCGAGTTGTGGTCAGGGACACGGCAGTTTGTTGAGTTTGAGCCCTGCCTCAGGCTCTGTGCTGACAGTGTGGAGCCTGCTTGGGTTTCTCTCTCTCTCTCTCTCTCTCTCTCTCTCTCTCTCTCTCTGCCCCTCCCCCGCTCATGCTGTCTGCCTCTCTCAAAATAAACTTAAAAAAAAAAAGTTATCACTGGCAGACAACACACCTACAAAACTGGAAGTAACCTAGGAAACTAGGAGAATATCAAGCTTACAAAATAGCTACATACAAATGATACATGAAAACCAAAAGCTTTCCACCCCAACAAAAATCAGTATTACAGAATTTAACAGATAAGAGGCGGTATGTGTAACGAAACAACCACAGAGACCCAGCCACACCAAGAACACATCACAGTTGCAGAGAACAGACAAAGAGGCAACATGAACACTTGGGGGGTCACACAGCCTAACCAGAGGCACAAACCACGATCATGGACGAAAAGATTATTCAGTAAAATATAAACTTCCCCCTCATTAACCTATCGACTCAATGCAACTCGCGTCAAAGTCCCACAGTTAATACCCAATAGTACAAGGTCAGCCGAGAGAGAAGAACACAGAACAAAGAGAAGGATGGGGTCTACCAGCAGCTGGGGCCTGTTAAAATAGAATCCAATAAACCGTACGTGCGTCTAGCAGTACAAAAGCCTTCTTATGACAACGCAAATTAAAAGCTAGTGAGGAGAGAGCGCCCTGCACAGCTCCAGAAATCCAGTGACTCAAGTGTGACGGGAGTGCCCACACACACTACGGGAGACGCTCCACCCGGGAGAAAACACCTGTGCCCTGTGAGCCGGGCCCAGGGTGCTGCGAGGGGGTTCGGGGTGGGGAGGGGCTGGGAATGGCTGAGTCTGGACTTGTCTACACGAGGGAACGGCCCTCCAAGCTGTTCAACGCCTGGCAGCCGAGTGCAGTCTCGAACTCACAGAGCTGTGAACAGGCGGCATACAATATGGTCAATGAGCATGTTAAAGATGTTCAGCCTCACCGACGATCAAGAAAATGCAAACGGGATCTTCTAGCGATCACACTGGAAAAACAAGGAGTTTGAGAGCAGGTGTGGTCAGCATAGCGGGACGTGGGCGTTCTCACCTACCACTTGCAGGAGCATAAAGGGAGATTCTGGCACAAAGTACTGCCACTAAAGAAGAAAAGCCCGCAGTTGTTCCGTGGAATGTGCCAATGTGTGGGGGGGACCAAGATGCGTCGTAAGTGAGCCGAGTCTGCTCAGTGTAATAAGACAGCTGAAGCCATCTTGCTCGGACAAGGACAAGGGTGAGCAGGCAGGGACAGGCGAGCACAGTGACCGGAGCCGACAGGGTGAGGTCTCCTGGCTCAAAGTCCATCCCGCTGCTTGCCCACAGACCTCCCAGGGAGCCCGAACGCCAGGAAGGGGACGGACAGACACCATGCTGACAACCCAACATGTTATTTCTATCTGAAACTGTGCCCCCAAAATGCTGAAGGACGTACCCAAGAACACGCCACAGGGGTGGCAAACACAGAGAACATCGCTTGGCTCCGTCCTGGGCCACGTCAAACCCATGTTCCTCCCGGCCTCTGCCCCGCTCGGGCACACCGCGCATTGCGAGGGGCAGACCCAGGTGTGCCTTCCAGCTCCCCTGCCTCCCTGGCCATTCCTTTCACCTGTCTTCCTGTCAGGAAAGACACTGTTCACAGCTGAGTGACACAGGTCTACAGGGCAGCTGAGGGACCACAGCACTGGCCCAGCCTGATGAGCCCATTAGACCAGAACCCTACCTCTGTGAATAGACCGGGGACCTTGCCTCATTCCACGTCACTGGGGGAGTGTAGCCCTGGGTGGTGATCGTTCTGGCTGGTGGCCAGGACTCTGGAGAGGGCAGAGTCAGGCAAGGGACACAGGGCCAGGGCCAAGACCTATGCCCTGACCCCAGCGGAGGCTTTCACGACTCACCTGCACCGGCCCCCTGGGCCGCAAAACCAGCAGGTGCCCCGGAAGCCCTACCTTATTAAGGTTCAGAACTCGAAAGAAGTCCTTGGCGTTCTGCTGGGAGACCTGGAGCCCTTCCTCTGCAGTGACACAGCTGTCACACGCCAGGCAGTCACTCAGAAATATCTTGGCATCAGCCAACTTATGGAATTCTCCCTTCTACAAAAGAAAGATGAGGTAGGTTTTGGTCTGATATTTCAGTAAAAACTCTAACGTGTGCTTCTCTAGGGAGGGTGGCAACATGAGACCAGCACAGGACACGGACCCCCTTGAACAGCACAGAGCCAGGCCTGCAGCTCGAGGGGCTGGAGGGGCACAGAACAGGCCACAATGACACCAGGGAGTCTCACAGATGACAATCGAGAGTAGGAGCAGGACGGCAGTGTCGTGTGGTGGGAAAAAATCTCCATTCCTGTGTCTTGGGAGCCGGCCCGGACCTTCTCCTCCCTGTACCCCTTCTGTGTAGCCCGAGGACTCCTGCCTGGCCGGGTGAGCTCCCCACGGAAACCCGTGGCCTGGCCTCAGGTCTGGATGGGGCCCAAGAGTTTGCACTTCCAACGTGCTCCCAGGTGGGGCCAGACCTGCCACTCCCAGGGTCTGGAGCACCCGGCCGGTGCCTGGTAGACGCTGCTGTGCTCCACCGAGAATACGGCCTCTCCGTGCCTGCAGGGGTGCCTGTGAGCACGCTCTGCACTGTGCCCGGCAGGACTTCCTCCCTGCCCGGTGCACCACCCAGTCCTTTCTGCAGGCTCTCCTGGGCCAGGTCCGGTCCTTCCCCTGCCTCTTGTCTCCTAAACGTGTGCCTGTGCGGAAGACTGCCCAGCACCCCTGCTCTGCCATCAGCCTTACCTTCCAGGGCAGTGCCAGCTTCCCCACCCCCAACACCCCCCCAGCCTTCACCTCCAGCGGGGCTCTCACGCTCCTGAGCTCCAGACGGCCATCCCATAGAAAGCTCAGCGTCTGTGGAACCAGAACTGCACTCTACTGCCTGCGCTGCGTCCTTTCCTGCTTTTGCCACTCTGGCGGGCCTGCCCAGGCCCCGCCACCCTGTCTCCCATAGCGTTTCCTTCATCCTCCCCTGCTCTAGCCACCTTAAACCACCTGCCCCCAAACACGCATACGACCTGTCCCCTCCCCCAGACGCCCTCCATGGCTTCCACTGCCCCTCCCCCAGAGCACTCTGTCCACACCTCCCTTGTGCCTGGAAAGCGCACCCCACCCCTGACCTGCTCACACAGGGGGTACCACCCACCGTGCTGGCAGGGCGTCCACTGAGGCCGTGTGCACACCTTATCTCTGTGTCACCACGGCCCTGGGAGGGAAGTAACTCGACTCTCCAGCTCACTGATAAGGAAACTGGGGCTCCAGGGTTTAGATGTCTGTCTGAGATGACGAGGCCAGCGGGTGGGTGTGGGAGGCACCGGGCACTCCCCGCCTCTTCCACCTTTGTGCCCTGGGGGCCATTCTCACCTACTGCTTGCCAAACCCTACGGGCCGCCGGACCACAGAGGGGTGCCAGTACAGGAGGGACGAGACCAGTTCCTGTCGGGCCAGACGTCGAGACTACAGAGAACCCGGCTGCTCTTCGCCCCACGTTGCCAGCTCTCCACTAGTGAGGTCGGTACCAGGACTTTCCAGGGAAGAGCGACCTCCCCCTACCCGGTAAACATAAACCGTCACTTCTAGCTGAGGAGGATGCAAACACTCAAGAACGGACTTAGAGAAGAAACCATTAGAAAAATAACCTTACAGGATCAGATTTGAATTATTTTATAAGTTACCTACCTAAACTCCCATTTTACAGAATGAACCTTTTCATTACATAAAATTGGATATTCTAATACTATAACACTCCTTCTAATAAACGATTAAGGAGGACGCTTTTCTCTGTTCCTCATGCAGCTTGCCCTGGCTCGGTGTATTCTCGGAAGGCTGGCTCTCGGGCACCTCTGTCTCAAAAGGTCATGTGCCTCGGAATGACGGACCTGTGTGTGTGTGTGTGTGTGTGTGTGGCCCCCGGCAGGGCACCACTTCAGTACCTTCTTTCCTAGAGCATGACGTGCTGGGGACAGGAGCCCTCGAAGAGGACAAAAACGGCCACAGCCGTTTACTCCAGGTGAATACAACACTGAAAAACTACTTGCCTCTCCGTTCTCCAGGGCCAGACTTGGTACGTCGACTGATGCATTCTCTTGGTCATCGGTTTTTGTTTTTTTACTACATTCCTTGAAAAGGCAAAGGAACATATAAAAGAACAACTTTTAATTTGACTCCCTGAATTTGCAAAGATGCACATAGTCTCCGCTCCGTTAACCTCATGTGTAGAAGTTTTTTCTACAAAAATAAAAGCGGCCGTACTTGTGGACATATGGAGACAGACAGACAGACAGACAGACACACACACACACACACACACACACACACACACACTCTCCTCTATCTGTATCTGTATCCCTTTTAGTAACTGAGAACTAGAAACAATGGGGCCTTCCATCCACAGGTAAATCAACACCGACTACCTGCACACATCATATTTAGAACACAATGGACTAGAACTGTTCGTGAAGCTCTGAAAATGCACTTGCTGTATGTTAAGTAAAAAAAAGAAAAAGTGATGGAATATTTATATGAGCCAATTTGTGGAAAAACAAACCAAAAGCCCCATTCATGCACTGAATGGCTGTGTATGTTCCGCTGCCTAGAAACAAGTGTGGAAAGCCATCCCAGTTACCATGGTTACGCAGGTGGAGAGGACCAGCCCAGACCTTCCTGCCTGTATAGTTTTGTTACTATAAGCATGTTAGCTGTAGAAAAGCCTCCTCAAAAACATTTTTTGATCATGGTTTCAATCATCCACATCAAGAATGGTGTTTTCCGTGACTGCCCTGAGTGGTTGCAGAGGTTGGTGTTTTAGGGGGTTTTTTAGTATTCTTTTTCTGGCTTCAAAAATACTTTGCGAGCATGGACAAGTGCACGGAAAACTAGAAAGACGAAGCATGACGCCAACTGTAACATTAACTACAAGGCACCTGAAAACGTCACCTGACACGCAGTAGTAGCTCCAGACACCTGGCAAGGTGCAGCGCCTGGAGCTTACCAACCATCTAGTCTCCCTCCATCCAGTTAAAACCCCAACTAGTTCCGCCAGACACGAGATCAAGGGTGCATGTTGACGCGGACGCAGAGGCGCCCGGAGCGGCGATCCGGAGGACCGGGAGCGAGGACCGCGCAGCGGCTGGCGCTGCCCGCTCTGGGCACCGGGGCTCCCGCATGCCCGCAGACGCGGGCAGCCCCGAGCCCCCGCAGTCCCGATCCCCTGACCCCAAGCAGCCCCGACCCCGGACAGGCCGACCCTCGACTCCCTGACCCGGAGCGACCCATCTCAGCCGGGCCGGCCCCCGACCCCAGCCCGGCCGGCCCCCGACCTCCTGACCTCGAGCAGACGGGCCTTTCCCTGCAGCCCCCGGCCCCCCACGCCCAGACCCCCGACCCCGAGTGCGCGGAGCCCACCTTCCGCGTGCAGTGCTCACACTTCATCTGGAGCGGGGCAGGCAGGGGGCCAGGGCTCGGCCTGAGAAGAGCACCGGGAGACGCGGTCACTGACGCCCGCCACCCGCCGCCCTTTGTTGTAGTCGCCCCCGGCCGGCCCCACCCCCGGAGTCTCCTCTCGACCAATGAGAGCGCTGGGAAGGGACAGGCCTCACCACTAAACCAATAGAAGTGAGAAAAGGGCGATGCGGCTCCCTCCCGCACGGCTCCGCCTAGGCCAATGAGAGCACCGGGAAGGGGCGGGCCGGGCCCCGGAGCCAATCGGAGTGCGCGGGGGCGGGGTGCGGCGGACTCCCCGGAGGCCCGGCAAGTTCTGGCGCCCGTTTTGGCAGCGCGCGGGTCGGGGACGGGTGCTGGGTGGACGCGCGGACCCTCTCTGTAGGAGGCAGCCCCGAATTGTCCTGGGGCGCTGGGCCGTCAGCTCGGCGCCGCCTCACGCCCGTTTCTAGGCTTCGCCGGGCCATCGCCATTGCGGCCCCGAGGCGCGTCACGTAGGCCGGTCCCGGTGGCAGTGCGCACGCGCAGGTGTGCACCACGTGGCGCCTTAGGGCGCACGAAGTTGGGTGTGAAATGAGTCCTCCGGAAGTTCTCGGCAGGTGTGTGGATGCTTGCTTTACAAACAGAGAGCAGTTACTGATTCTGGGAGTGATGACTCCACCTGCGGGGCTAAAATGAAAATGTTTAACTCTTACTAATGAAAATAAACACTTTACAAAATCAGCGTCTGCTCCTTACAGGATGGTCAGAAACCAGAGGCATGCCTAGAAAACTTGAGAATAGGAAAAGTAACTGGTGACCTTAAAAATGGAGTTGCCATTTTACCAGAAAAAATGGGCTTATTTGGGAATAACAGAGAATTGCAATTGGGACCAAGCTAGCTGTACCAAAACCATAATAGGCAAGTCTGGAAACAAAGGAGATGAGCACACTTCGAGGAAAAGGGGATGTTGGCAGAGGCCATTGTAAACAGAAAGTCCAGTGGAGTAAAGTAGTGGCCTCTCAGCACCGAGCTTGACTGCTTCTCCTGGCTGGGCTGTCCTGCTGCAGTAGTTGAGTACCTGCAAGGATCCTGCGGGGTCTGCGTTGGAGGCCAGCGGTCGTGGACGGAGAGCGCCCCTGCCTGGCCCCAACCCAGCCTAAAGAGGGTTTCCTTGATTCAGTTTCAGGATTTCTAGTGCTTCATACAGCTTTTCACAAATGCCTCTGTTGGGGCGCCTGGGTGGCGCAGTCGGTTAAGCGTCCGACTTCAGCCAGGTCACGATCTCGCGGTCCGTGAGTTCGAGCCCCGCGTCAGGCTCTGGGCTGATGGCTCAGAGCCTGGAGCCTGTTTCTGATTCTGTGTCTCCCTCTCTCTCTGCCCCTCCCCCATTCATGCTCTCTCTCTCTCTCTGTCCCAAAAATAAATTAAAAAAAAAAAATGCCTCTGTTAACTCAGGAGGTCTTTTTAAAAATGTTTTATTTATTATTTTTGAGAGAGAAAGAGACAGAGTGCGAGCGGGGAAGGGGCAGAGAGAGAGAGGCAGACACAGAATGGGAAGCAGGCTCCAGGCTCAGCTGTCAGCACAGAGCCCCATGCTGGGCTCACACCCATGAACTGTGAGATCATGACCTGAGCTGAAGTCCCACACTTAACCAACTGAGCCACCCTGGTGCCCCTAAACTCAGGAGGTCTTAAATGGCTCCCAGATTAACTCTCTGCATTACTCAAATCTAGGTCAGCAGCTCTCAGAAAACACATTCCTTCAGTTTTAAGCATGAATAACGGTATTTTGCGGTTGTCACTTGTATATATTTCTCATTATTATTTTAAAAACGTAACCATGATACCATTACCGTAATGTGTGAAAAAAGAAAATTGCAATTACTTAATTTCATCAAATATGTATTGTCTAGGTTTCCCTAAATTGAACCTTTTTTTTTTTTTCAGTTTAAATCAGGACCTAAATAAGGTCTAATATATTCATTGGTTTGAGTGTTTCTTGTGTCTCTTTTTAAAAATTTTGTTTTAGAATAACTTGCAGCTCACTTAGAAGTCGCAAAGACACCATGGAGAGCTCCTGGTCTAAAGGTTTGTGTGTGCGTTTGAATTTGTAGGTTCCAACCACATCCTGCTGGCTTCTCCTTGCATATCGCTATAAAGGAATCCCGTGATTTGGCTGTAGGGCTTCCAAGAATTGCTGCCCGTGTCCTTGTGGAGTCCTTTCATATATCCTTGTTGTCTGAGTTTCCAGTAAAGAGTAGTTAGAACATTCTCATGCTTTGATCACGGGTTAAATTTGTTGGCAAGCCTATTTCATATATATTGTAATTCCTTCAGGAGTTTATACTAACCATCTTTTTTGTGATATTAATTAGTGCACATTGATGAAACTGCATGGATCCATTCATTTATTATAGCAATTTTTAACCCTACCGTTTCTTCTTTTAAAAAAAAAATGTTTATTTATTTTGAGAGAGAGCGGGCACGAGCAGGGGAGGGGAAGAGAGAGAATACATCAGTGCAGAGCCCAGTGTGGGGCTCTATCCCATGAACCGTGAGATAATGACCTGAGCTGAAATCAAAAGTCAGACACTCAACAGACTGAGCCAACCAGGGGCCCCAGTTTCTTATTAATTTACTAGTGGGAATACTTTCATAATGATAAATTCCTCTCATTCACTATTTGGTTACTCTGTTGTAAATTTTTTTATTATTATTATTAATGTTTATTTAATTTTGAGAGAGAGGGAGACAATATCTGAAGCAGGCTCCAGGCCCTGGGCTGTCAGCACGGAGCCCGATGCGGGGCTTGAACTCAAGAGCTGTGAGATCATGACCTGAGCTGAAGTCAGACACTCAACCGACTGAGCCACCTGGGTGCCCCACTCTGTTGTAAATTTTATAAAGAAAGGCAGGATGAATGAATCTGTCAAAAAAAAAAAAAATCCAAGTTCCTTTCTTAGTATCCTCTGAAAGTGAACGAAGGATTTAAAATTGATCATTACGAATTATGGATTTAAACCCTTGAAGATTTTTGATTCATATTTTTAAAATGTTTTATTTTTGAGAGAGAGAGAGCATGAATGGAGGAGGGGGAGAGGGAGGGTGACAGAGGATCTGAAGCAGGCTCTGTGCTGACACAAGTGAGCCGGATGTAGGGCTTAAAACTCATGAACCTTGAGATCATGACCTGAGCCAAAGTTGGACGCTCAACTGACTGAGCCCCCCAGGTGCCTTGATTCATTTGAATTATTGTCCTTGTTGATGCTCAAATCCTTTTTTTTTTTCTTTTTTTCTTTTTGGCATAGAAAAATCTCTTCAGCTAGGCTCCAAAAATTTTTTAACAAGATGCTAATAGTCTGTTTGTTTTTTGATACACCTGCTTGTGCATTTCTTGCTTTAGACCTGAAATCACTCCTTTCTCCCAAAAGCCTGGTTCCTTTAGTAGCAACTGCTATTTAAGAACCACAAAATCGAGGGGCGCCTGGGTGGCGCAGTCGGTTAAGCGTCCGACTTCAGCCAGGTCATGATCTCGCGGTCCGTGAGTTCGAGCCCCGCGTCAGGTTCTGGGCTGATGGCTCAGAGCCTGGAGCCTGTTTCCGATTCTGTGTCTCCCTCTCTCTCTGCCCCTCCCCCATTCATGCTCTGTCTCTCTCTGTCCCAAAAATAAATAAACGTTGAAAAAAAAATTTAAAAACCACAAAATCTGTACTAGTATTGTTCATTGCTACTGCATTGGTTATCGTTTCCAGGACTTTCCAGTGGACAGCATTAAGAGACATTTTTTTTTTTTAATTTTTAATGTTTATTTTTGAGAGAGAGAGGGAGAGGGAGAGAGAGCAGGGGAAGAGCAGAGAGTGAGAGGAAGACACAGGATCCAAAGCAGGCCTGTAGATCCCGCAAAACAACCAGGAAGAAAAGCTCTTCCTCCTGCAGTGTCTCTCCAGCACCCTCTACTGGCAAAGCTTAACACCATGCCAGAGAGCACACAAAACACAGGGGTTCAGGTCCATTTTCAGGGATCAGGCAATGAAGTTTGAGTTTAGAGCTGATTTAATGCCTTGGTAATTGGCACAATATACAGGTTTATTCACTCAGTACCCTCTTTATGGATGTTGTATTTCCAGTCTTGCTTTTGCCAATAGTCAGCAGGATTTTAACCAAATTGACTATCATTTGGTTACACATCTGACATTTGTAAGAGTCCAGCGCAGTCTTCATTTTTAAACACCTTATAATCTACGGGCTCTGGGCTGATGGCTCAGAGCCTGGAGCCTGTTTCCGATTCTGTGT